TTATATTCAATCAACACATTGAAAAACACATTTTCCTTTACTAATTAGTTTCATGCGCAAAACGCAATCTTCAGAAGTGTAAATGGTAGTTCTCAATAAAGGGACGTAACTATGAAGTGTAAATGGTGGTTTCTCAATAAAGGGGCGTAACTATATTAATACTGTTCATTTTTTAAAGTTGCTTAATAGATATTTCCTGGAATGTCTGCAGGTTGTTACAAGTTCGTTTCTTTTGTTAAGTTTAGCGTTTTGTTGTTTGCAGATAATGTAGAATTTCTCCCATAGGCACAAGTTGCATCGGTCGGAGGCTGGGTTGTAGGGTGAGGCTTGTTTTAAGATATTCCATGTTATGTTAAAGTCGATGTTTTCTTCTTTGAGTTCCCAGATATATTTACTTAATTCAGTGCTGTTTTTAAGCTTAGGATTTCTAAATGATGCTTTGTGGTTTGTAAATCGGGTTTTAAAGGTATTTTCTGTTAATCCTACATAAGTTTGTTTAGGCTTGTCGTCTTTGTTTCCACTGTAGCTCTATATACAACCGATTTCACCAAGCATCGTCCTGACATGGGGCAATCTATTAGTCAATCTATTTCACAAGTCAGGTGAACCATGGGGCAAGAAAGCGACATCCAATCTATTTGACGTAACTATGGGAAGCTTCGATGGAGCAGAAACTTGTGAGTTAGTTGGATTATATTTACTTAACGAAATAACACAGAAACATGGAAAAAACTTTGGGCTATATCGAGATGATGGTCTAGGTGTATCTGATGCGAAACCACGTGAAATTGAAAACATTAAAAAAGACCTGTGCTCTATCTTTTCTAAACACGGCCTGAAGATTACAATTGAATCCAACAAAAAAATCGTGAACTTTTTGGACGTAACACTCAACCTGAAGAATGGCAAACATGTTCCATACAACAAACCGAACAACACACCATTATATGTGCATACCGAATCGAACCACCCACCGAATATCATCAAGAACATACCCATAGGCATTAACAAACGTCTATGCGAAATATCATATGACCAAGAATCTTTTGACATAGCAACACCAATCTACCAAAGGTCTATTACAAATAGTGGATATAAACACCAACTTAAATACTCAAATGAAGAAAAGACAGACAACGGTACCAAGAATCGCAAAAACAGAAGCAGAAATATAATCTGGTATAACCCACCATATAGTAAAAATGTAGAAACCAACATTGGAAAAACGTTTCTGAAAATACTAGACGAAGAATTTCCCAAGGAACACTTGCTACACAAAATATTCAATAGAAACACAGTCAAATTAAGTTATAGTTGCATGAACAATATAAAAAACATAATCGACGGACATAACAAAGCTATTCTTTCCAAAGAAATAGTAAAAAATCAGCCTAAAACATGCAATTGTAGGAAAATAATAGATTGCCCCATGTCAGGACGATGCTTGGTGAAATCGGTTGTATATAGAGCTACAGTGGAAACAAACGACGACAAGCCTAAACAAACTTATGTAGGATTAACAGAAAATACCTTTAAAACCCGATTTACAAACCACAAAGCATCATTTAGAAATCCTAAGCTTAAAAACAGCACTGAATTAAGTAAATATATCTGGGAACTCAAAGAAGAAAACATCGACTTTAACATAACATGGAATATCTTAAAACAAGCCTCACCCTACAACCCAGCCTCCGACCGATGCAACTTGTGCCTATGGGAGAAATTCTACATTATCTGCAAACAAGAAAACGCTAAACTTAACAAAAAGAAAACGAACTTGTAACAACCTGCAGACATTCCAGGAAATATCTATTAAGCAACTTTAAAAAATAACAGTATTAATAGTTACGCCCCTTTATTGAGAAACCACCATTTACACTTCATAGTTACGTCCCTTTATTGAGAACTACCATTTACACTTCTGAAGATTGCGTTTTGCGCATGAAACTAATTAGTAAAGGAAAATGTGTTTTTTCAATGTGTTGATTGAATATAAATCCATACATACAGCTCTGGGATACCATCGAGCACTCTGTCTAGGGTTTGTACTGACTTTTAGTGTTATTGGATTTATATATATATATATATATATGTATGTGTATATATATATATAATATATATATATATATATATATATATATACATATACATATATATATATACATATACATACATATATATATATACATATACATATATATATATATACATATACATACATATATATATATATATATCATATATATATATATATATATATATATATATATATATATACATAATATGTATATGTATATATATATATATATCTATATATATTTATATATATATATATATATATATATATATATATATATATATATATATATATATATATATATATATATATAATATATATATATATATACACATACATATATATATATATATATATATATATATTATATATATATATATATATATATAATATATATATATATATATATATATTGATATATTGATATATATATATATATTTATATATAAATATTAAATATATATGTGTATATATATAATATGTATATATCTAAAAAAAAAAAAGTCAAGCTAATGAATGACCCCCGGGGCGGGGCCAATTTTTACCCTAGGGCTTTTACTTGAACAAACTTTGTAGACACTCATTAGAAGATGTTTCATGCTAAATATCTTAGCTCTAGCTCTTTGGGTTCTTTAAAAGAAGATTTTTTTAATTTTAACTATATGCCATATAGGGAAAATCAAAGACACCCTGGGGCGGGGCCAATTTTGACCCTAGGGCTTTTATTTGAACAAACTCTGTAGACACTCACTAGAAGATGTTTCATGCTTTATATCTAAACACTAGCTATCTGGGTTTTTTCAAAGAAGATTTTTAAGTTTTTGCTATACACAGTCATATAAGGAAAATCAATGACCCCCGGGGCGGGGCCAATTTTGACCCTAGGGCTTTTATTTGAACAAACTTTGTAGACACTCACTAGAAGATGTTTCATGCTTAATATCTAAACTCCAGCTATTTGGATTTTTTCAAAGAAGATTTTTTAAGTTTTTGCTATACACATATAAGGAAAATCTATGACCCCCGGGGCGGGGCCAATTTTGACCCCAGGGCTTTTATTTGAACAAACTTGGTAGACACCCATTAGAACATGTTTCATGCTAAATATCTTAGCTCTAGCTCTTTGAGTTCTTTAAAGAAGATTTTTTAAGTTTTTACTATATGCATATTGGGAAAATCAATGACCCCCTGGGGCAGGGCCAATTTTGACCCCAGGGCTTTGACTTGAACAAACTTGGTAGACTTTCATTAGAAGATGTTTCATGCCAAATATCTAAGCTCTAGCTCTTAGGGTTTTTTAAAAGAAGATTTTTTAAGTTTTTCCTATTGGTTGCAATGGCAACCAGAGTTTTTAATTGAATTTAAATTTTTGAACAACTTTGAAAGGGGTCCACCTAAGGATCATTTCTGTAAAGTTTGGTTGCAATTGACCATGTGGTTTAGGAGGAGATGTTGTTTGAAAAGTTTGACGCCATTTTTTGAAGGACGCACGACGCACGCAGATTGATGACAAAAGCTCACCCTTGAGCACTTCGTGCTCAGGTGAGCTAAAAACAAGAGCTGTCGGTAGGGACAGCAACGCTTGACTATTCTGAGTGCTTGATAGTAAAAAAAAATGCTTCATACAGTTACCTCCTCCTGTTTACAGGTTGGGGTCATGATGGTGAACAAGTGTGCAAAGATTCAAAGCCATATGTCTTTGGAGTTTGAAAATATTTGAGGTATAACAGAAACTTTAACATAAATTCTAAGTCAAAAAAGGGGCACAATTCTGTCAAAATGCTTGATACAGTTACCTCCTCATGTCTACAGGTTGGGGTCATGATGGTGAACAAGTGTGCAAAGTTTCAAAGCCATATTTCTATGGACTTTGAAAATATTTGAACTATTACAAAAACTTTAACGTAAATTCTAAGTCGAAAAAAGGGGCATAATTCTGTCAAAATGCTTGATACAGTTCCCTCCTCATGTCTACATGTTGGGGTCATGATGAGGAACAAGTGTGCAAAGTTTCAAAGCAATAAGTCAATGGACTTTGAAAATATTTGAACTATTACAAAAACTTTAACATAAATTCTAAGTCGAAAAAGGGGCATAATTCTGTCAAAATGCTTGATAGAGTTACCTCCTCCTGTCTACAGGTTGGGGTCATGATGGTGAACAAGTGTGCAAGTTTCAAAGCCATATGTCAATGGACTTTGAAAATATTTGAACTATTACAAAAACTTTAACTTAAATTCTAAGTCGAAAAAGGGGCATAATTCTGTCAAAATGCTTGATAGAGTTACCTCCTCCTGTCTACAGGTTGGGGTCATGATGGTGAACAAGTGTGCAAAGTTTCAAAGCCATATGTCAATGGACTTTGAAAGTATTTGAACTATTACAAAAACTTTAACATAAGTGTTTACGCCGACGATCGGGTGACTGCAATAGCTCTACTTATTCTTATCGAATAGTCGAGCTAAAAATCAAATTCCAATTTATATTTAACTAAGACTTATATTTAACTTTTAGTGAATTCTAAATATTGTTGCATATTTTTTGTTTAAAATGCCTCCGTTGATTTATGTTAGAATTTCAAATTTTATGTTCTCAGGTTTTTGAACCTTCATGGAGTTCCATTATGCAGTACTCACTCTAAAACACTGGGGAATAGATAATTATACATACACCATTAATAAGTTAGAATCAGCTGGATTATTCAGTTTTCATTTATTTACACTGACACTTTTCATCTTAAATGGTGTTGGTTTATCAAAGATGGCAAGACACATGGCATACATCCAGTTTGACCTTAGTTTCCAGGCACAATTTCTGACTTTTCAGACAGATTATTTAAAATTTCACAATAAAAACATATGAAAAATAAGCCAATAAGAATTGCTGGGTAACTAAACTCTCGTATTCTTATTTAAATACTTACATGCAGAAATATTGCTCAATACTAAAGATGCCTTCTTGGTGAAGAGTCCACATGAAATGTAATGGAATTCTTGGCAATCCATGCAGTTTATCATTCAATCTTGAAACATTCAGCTTGCCTGTATCTTTCAACTGTTTCATCATCAGCAATAATGATTGAACTTCTGCCTATAAATAAAAACATATGGCTTTAAATAGAAATATATATCTATAAATAAGAATATCGACTATATATTGATTCAGCCTAGCTTTTGCTTCGAATGATTTGATCATTTATCCGAGTCAAGCATTGAATTAATGCTTCTTTTTCATCCAGTAAACAAAGTCATTCCCAATGCCAAAACATAGCTTTCTTTCCAATTGAGAGACAAATTTTCCCCAATAGACAGTCTGCATAAATGGTGTTGCTTATTTGCTTAAATAGGGACTATTCTGAAATAACTTATACAAAAATAATAATACAGAAGTTATCAGTAGAAGGTTTGTTTTTGTATTTATTATGTTTTCAGCTGTTTCTGTTAGTTACTCTAAAAATCCCAATTTTTACTTTTCATAATGCTTTTTACCTTGAATTAAAAATGGTGCTGGAGGCATTCCTTAAATGTTAATTGAGAAAAAGCCTGGAATTTAACATATTGTGAAAGTGATTTTGATATTGGAAGTAACAATACAAAGGCGTTGCATAGGTTTGATCTGTATTGACTCTCTATTCAATGTGTACAAAATCTCTACAGTAATATATCAACAATAACAACATTGTTGACGTCAAAAAGCGCGGTAAGATAATAGCGTAAATATAAATTTATATATGTAGTTATCTTGCGGACACATATCACAAATTTTAAAACTAAGTAAGATCTATTAAGCAACCAAATGTTGTCTGAAAACCTTGAAGTTGAAATGGTTATAGAAACAAAATCTTACTGTTTTATCTTCTGATATTTTGCCACTGTCAGAATAAAGGGATACAACTCTCTCCATACATATCTCTGTACTATGAAACTGCCCATCTGGCAGATCATGTGACTTCAATATTGGCAAACAGCCAAATTCTGGAATGAAATAAGATGTTCTGTCAAAATAAAACAAATGATTTAAATCTATATCATCAACTAAAGCTTCAATTAAAGCAGCACACCTCCAGATTCTATCAATTTTCATAAAAGTTATGGAAATGTATCAAAAAGTAAAATACTGTGAGATGAACAAATAAAGCAAAAATAAATATTGTAATTGGCACTTTCAATGCAAGAAAATTCCAAAAAAATGGTCAACATGTGCAAAAACAGCCCTTACTGCATTAGAAACGCAGTAGAAATATAGTGATAAAATACTGCAAAAGCAGTATTAAACTGCATATTACATTTAAAATATCACTTGGATCTTGAATGTTTTTATCTTTCTTAAAATTTTAGTACATTTTTCTCAATATTGATTTTCTAAATATTTTGGCTCATATGGAGGCATGCAGTTTTTAAAGCCTTGTGTGAACTTTTTTGATACACTTATTGAGTTGTACTTATCTTTAAGAGAAAAAACTTATGAGATAATAAATGTAGATTGTTTGCATACACAATTTTGCTATTTCTTCCCCCTTTAATACAATTGTTGGATAGTATGAGAGATTTTCATACTGCTGACAGTGATTTATGCAGGATTAATAAAAATACAACAACATGTAAATCACTTACTGCCTATCTTACAACACTGTCTATTGATTATGTCTTCTGAATATTGTTTAATTTGATATCATTAAATATTAAGGCTCATTATGCCCAAGAATTGTTTTAACTTTTATTAATTACCATGACACCCCTATTTAGTACTAGTTGCTACAGGAGTTTAGAATTAATCTTTGTCCTTTAACCTGCTCTAAAAGCATTTATTTAAATGTTATAAAACTCATGTTTGCCCTTCCTTTAATAAAAATATCTAATCCGTGTCTTTAAATGAGAACATAACTACACACCTGCCAAACCAGTCAGTAAAACATTGTCATCCTTGCATGCCTGTCGAAATGATGATACCTGTCCAAGAAAAAATTGTGATATTTTTCAGCAGACTATTAATAATGTCATAAGGCCAACTTTCCAGCTTTAAAGAAAATGGAGGAAACATGATATGACCATGAAGGTTATTAAGAGCTAGAATTATGATCCCAAAGATACATGTACAATCTAATCAGAATACATAGTGATGTTTTTGAGCTTACATGCATGCAAAACATTTAACAAAGAATAATGAAGAACCTTTACATTCACAAGTACATATAATTCAAAAAAGAAATCCTTTCAAGTTATAGGTACCGGTAATTGACAGTTGAATGTTGTGAAATGGTTTTTTGTCCATACAAGACTAGTGTAAAATGTTGTATTAAGAGGAATATAATCCAACTGGTCCTTTTGTATATAATGCATGCAGGTCTAATGTGATGATACGAAATTTTATTAATGTATTTTATAATAATAGCATAATCAATATTAGTATATGATTTAAACATTATGCTTATCAAAATTTCAAATAAGCAGCTATCAATAGGATGCCTTACAATAATGTACTCACTCACTCACTCACTGGCCTTATTATAAGACCTATGTTTTACTTATTTTATCTTAATCCTTCATTAATCTGATTTTTTTTTTCATTTTCCATGTTACATTGAAAAAGCCTTGCGAATATAAAATATAAAATGTCACAATGATAAATATTGAATGGTAAATAACTTTTTTATGTCTTATTATTTTGACTAACAAGTCATTAATTGATGGAACTTGCTTGTCTCATTATATTAACATAAATGTTCCGGTGAGTTGGATATTAAAATACTGAAATCTGGCTTCAAATGAGTGTTTAATGTTTTAGTATAATCCTTTCTGGTTTTATTGTGGGTTAAATAATATCGCAAAAGTCTCCTTTTTTTTATACATTTTTCACATTTTTACATTAAGCACTACCTGTTGAGGTTGCAGAGGCGCTCTTAATTAGAACTAAGTTGCACTTTTGATAAGAAACTGTGTAAAAATGTCATCGTAATTGTGAATTTAATAACACTTTATATCAACCTCTCCATTTTCTTTTAATCACGACGTTCTTGTATACCTTGTTACTTAAATTAGATTTAATATCAGCATTAATTACTTACTCTCAATACTGCGATATTACCGGAGCCCACCCAATGAAAAGACAACATAAAAAAAACGTGTACATACCTCAGAAAGGGTCTTATCCAAGTTTTGGTTGTGTAATAGAAGTTGGAAAACTGTTTCTTTCAGTAAATCTTGACTGCCTGCCATATCATACATTCATCGTACTATACTGAAGATTATATAAAACAACAGGGACCTATTTGTTACATGGACGATATCACATAAAAATCCATTGTAATTATTCATTACATAGGTACTGGGATTCAAAGCTCACAATCTTTTAAAATTCGTGAATAATAAAAAAATAATTTTGTTTAGAAATCTACATAAAATTAGTATTTTATATACAAACTATAAATCCTTGTTTAAAGAAATCAAAAAGCATAGTAAGTTGTGGAAACGATTGCCTAATAATGCCCTATGATTGATTATAATATATTTTGTAGCCCTATCATCTGATCATAATTTATACTATAGCCTATATCGGTTCCTTTCTCAGTTGTTTCTGCCTTTGCGGGAAAATTATAACCTGATCATCAGATCATTAAAAAAATTATCTCAATACTAGTAATCTACAAGTAGAAGAAACGCAACACATAACTATCATCTTTATTTATTTCTTACACTGTATCAAGAGCTAAAGGTATTTTCTTTTCACTTTGACACTTTCACATGTGTAAGGCGCTTTGTTTTCAAAAGATCTATTAATGGCGTTAAATGAAAAAGGGGAGCTAACTTTTGCAAATAAGTTGCTCAACATGCACCATGGGACAGAAGATAACGTGTATCTTTCTGTCCCAGCTTCCTTCATGGTTTTATTATAAACTGATAAACGTGATATTACATTCAAATAGAACAGAATTTAAATAAGAAAGGCCCTCTAGCTGTCTAATCGATAGGCCTAAATTGCTGCATTTATTCTGTATAACCAAAGCATTTTATTTGCAAGCTCCACTCCAAGCTTGGACCAAAATATGTAAGTTTATTTTGGTCCCATCATAGTCCCATCATATTAAATGAAATCATGTTGGTTTTTTGCTTTTTAGCTCGAAAATGGCATATTAACTACCAGATTATTTTTTTAGAAGTCCGTTCAGTATTTTAACGCGACTTAATTATTGGGATCAGCTCATCTAGAAGGGAAAACCTGTGATCTTTTTTTATATTAAAAGTAGATCTGCATTTCCATAGCATATACAGCCAATAACCGATACGTACCTATCATTGAAATAATCAATCAATATACAAATGTATACAGTATGCTACGTTGTGTTTTAACCTGGGACATACGATATCGTATATCGATCCAAGGTTTTAACAGTTTAAACTTCTCGTGTGTCATAATCATTATCAAACAAATGAAGATAACAATATTATTTACTTAAAACTTATTGCAAATTATATCTAAACGTGCTATTACGTAGAAGAAAAGGAAAATGAAATTTGAAACCATTAGATGACCTCTTAAACAAATACATGTGCGTAACAATCCTAAAATATCAAACAATTAAAGTCAGTGCGTTTTATATCCAATTATTCCAACTCTATATAATGAAAAAAACGGAGAGTTCAATTGCGCATGTTTTTCTCACAGTATATACATGTATATAGTACATATATTTTAACAGAAATTGAATAAAATGTGAAATTACCAAAAGTCAAAAAGTTGTTGATTTCTCGAATGTTTTACGAGTTCAACCCTTATATTTTTCATAAAGTATAAAAATATATAATCTAGCAATTCCTCGTTCATGGTGTCCGTAGTTTTCTTATAAGTTATTGAGTTTAAGTATGTATTTATTTCCAAGTATAAAGTTTCTGCGCAAGAAGTTTGTGTTGTTAGTTAGTTGATGTACAAATGAGAAAGGTGAATTTGATAATATTTTTGGTAATGGCAAAGTCGTAACTAAGACAACAGTATTGTGTAGTACAAGTATTCTGATAAACAAGACTCAGTATTAATGATTACACGGTAAGACTTGCATTTTTTGTAAATATTATATGATATCTCAAAGCTACCTTATTTTTCACTTCCTGTAGTTTGGCTTTAAAATGATGTGATGTGTTACCGTGTATTCATTGGTCTTGCTTCGATAGATTTGTTACTTTCAATAACGTTTCCCTTATCGCTGTAAGTTTGAGTCTTATTGCAGATGATCTGCTGTTTAGTTTATATTTTTTATGCAATTTGTTTCTATGATAATGCACGTGTCGGAGTCACGGGGTTTCCTCTGCAAATAAATCTGGACAGTAACTTTTGTCCAATAACTTTAGCCTCTAAATACAAAACCCCGTGTTAAAATATCAGAAATATTCGGCTGACTTTTACCCATTCAGCATCTAATTAATAAGAAGCATTTTGAATATCACGCCAGGACATGGGTGTTTGCGGGGGTAGACATTTTTTTTATATCGATTTCCTACATTATTAAATAAATTAGTTTGTGGTGATCCGTGGTTTTATCAGTATCATTATCAGTTCTTAAAACAGAACTTATTTTTTATATTCTTATCATGCCAAGTTGGTGAGCTCTTTCAATGCATTTTTGTTTTGTCTGTATTTCTTTACTCCAATTTTACACACTCTTGGTTATCTGTAATGTCATAATTTATATAAAAAGTCAGTACCTAAGCATACCCCTTTATCTAAAAAGAACTCGAACGATGCAATCATTAGATATTTAAAAGTGATTGAAATAAATAATATTGAAAAGAGAAGTTTTATTATGTGTTTTATACTTTGTAAGAAACCCTCACTTTTCATACTAGGTATTTTAATTTTATTGTTGAACAATTGATACCCAGTTAAATATTGACGTTTACACAAATTCAATATATATATAATTCGTCTCGCAGTTGAACAATTTATATCAAATTTATATCAAAATTACTATTTTTGTAGTACATTATAATTCATAGAATATTTTGTACGTGGAACTTGAATAAATCATTTTTGATATTAATTTTGCTCATTTATTTCGTATTCATGATACAGGGATAGAATTTAAATTTACGTATATTTGGTTTTAATTAAATTCTGTCTACCAAAGAGTGCAAACATTGACAGAACAAAGTTAGGTACATGTCCAGCATTACCTTGTTTTGATGTTGCTCTCTTCTTTCACATTTTAATGGAATAAAGGCCTGAGATGTAACACCTTTGCACACATTTATTTAAAATTTCATAGCAGTTTTTTGGGCCTTTTTTATTTTAAATATAATTCAGTACCAATAAGCAATGTTAAGCTGGGTTTTCAAATAGATATAACTTCCCAAATTTATGTTTCTCTGATTGATGCAGTAACAAAGATGCTTAACTGAGAAAAAATAGTCTGTATGCCTGGATGAAAATGCTAAAGGCTAGGGCCAGAATATTGCTAGGAGCCGGAAACTGCTAGGAAACCAGTACATAAATCCTTTTTATAGTCTACGAAATCTGCGTCAAACAAAAAAATACAATGAAATAGAAACGGGGGTAAGAGATAATAACTCTTGAACTAAAATTCACTCAAACCCAAATTATATATCCTATTTTTGCGCAAAGGATGATCATACTGCATTTCACAATGATTTACAATCTCATTCAATAATAAAAAACACTATTTAAAACGTGCCGTGATTTAGCGCAAGAAACACACTGGCAGTAACAAAAGTTATCATAAGAACACAGTGACATCTTCAGAGTTATCACAAGAACTCCGGGACATTTGACAAATCGGGTATATATCTGTTAGCCGGTGCTTTATGTTTGCAATTTTGCATTATTATTATGTCAAATTTTATGTATGGCAAGGATGGAGACTAGAAATAAACAAGTCAATACTTGTGATTGGCAAATACTTTGGAATTTTTACTGAGAACTTCCAGATTTGAAGCAAGAGGCGATTAAAAAATGACCTGTGAATTAGTTTTTGACACATAATACAAGATGTAAGACAAGCTTAATCATTAAAGTTTAATTAAGCACCTAAAAATCATTTTTGAAAGCTAAAAATAATCATTTTTGACAAGTGTTTTTGTAGTACATAAAGATGTTTTCCGACGAACTCCGTGACAGTGATCACAAGAACTCCTGAACAAGATATCATAAGAACTCCATCCTTCGTGTAACACTTCCTCCCCCGTGATAAACCAGGCTAAGGTTGTACTTCACATATTCAAATGAAGTGTAAGAATAGATTCACTTATAAATTGTTAAACGAATCATTAGAGGTTAAAATATTATAAAAATTAAAAACACACAATATTTTGAATTGCCTCTCGTGCGCTACCTAATATTTCCATTGACTACAATAAGGATATATGGTGAACGTTAAAAAGAAAAAGAACTAATGAAAAGGATAAGAAAAGTAACTATAAGAAGATTATTATTTATTTGTGTCAGCCTCGTGTATCTAACACAACTATATGCTTATTTTGTTGTACCTGATGACCAACCAACTATTTTAGAAAGAAAAAAGAAACAGCAACGAATACGATGTTAATTTATAAAACACACCAAATCATTTTCAGAAAATTGATAATTTACTTTTACAGTTGGGTGTCTCCACCTTAGTACTGCAAATATAGTCTAATTTTCATATCATTTGCAAATAAGTTTGGCATATTATGTAACCATGTCCTGTTCTTCAGATCTATTGAATATGTACAGTTGATTTTAAAGCAATTATGTATTAAAACGAATATTTCCTTTTGTTAAGTTAGATCTAAAATGAAACGTTACACCGTACCACAACTTCGAACAATGCATTACATGTGCTAATTATTGAACCGCACTTAAACTATATTTGCATATTAAAGAAAATACACGTTTCTTTGTAGTTTAAATATAACTCTTTTATCAATGTTGGTACTACTATTGTGATAGAACAAAAGAAATTTAAAGCTTGATATTCAGTTTCATTCGGTTAATCTTAATTTTAGAGAATGGTGTTTAAAGGATATATTTCTGTTTTCCGAGCCTTAAGGTTCTTGATAATAATACAGCTTATAGACGCCGCAACAATCACAGAGATGGAAAATCTACATACGTCATTATTCACTGGCTATAACAAAAATGTTCGACCAATAACTGATCAAAGCTTGACTATAGACGTAAAAGTGTATATGTATATAAAGTCAATCCGAGAATTCGACGAAGTGGATGAAAAGTTTTCTTTTGTTGCAGCGTTGACACTTATATGGACAGATGAAAAGTTACGTTGGGACAAAAATTCCAATGGCGGTATCGAAGAGATTTCAGTGTCCTACGATGATGTATGGGTACCGGAAATGACATTATCAAGTCCCTCTTCAAAAGGGTCAGTAATTGGGAAATCATCTGATAGAATCCGTATTACTGATGGTGGAGAAATGAACTGGATACCAGGGGGTCTCATAGAAAGCACATGTAGTGTAAACGCTAAAAAATTTCCGTTCGACACTCAAAGTTGCGACACAAGTTTTACGTCCCTAGGTTACAAAAGCCATGAGGTGAATCTTCAAGCCGGATTTCCAAACATCAGTTTTGAGGTATATATTCCTAACTCGTTATGGGATGTTACTGGATCAGAAGCTAAAACGGTTATATTAGGATCCGGTAATGAATCTGAAATAACGTTCACAATGAATTTGAAAAGGGACGCAACTTTTGCTGTGATAAACATCATGATGCCCAATATTGATTCTAAGCTTATTAAATGTTCTTGTATTTCTTCTCGTGCCAGAATCTGGAGAACGTATTGGATACTGTATTACGACACTTCTTGCTATTGCCGTGTACATGACAATTGTCAATGATTTACTGCCCCAAACTTCACGACCGGTACCACTTATTTCCTACAAGTTAATGATAGACTTGATTGTAAGCGCATTGATAGTTTTTGTCACCATCGTGAACATGCGTCTGTACAGTAGAGACGACAACGTTATAGTTCCTGGGTGGCTCAAGTCAGTTTACCGGTTTATGGCATGCACCCGAAGCAGAATTCACCCAGACAAAACCACTGAGGAAAAACCAAAAAGCGCGATTGGCTCGACTAAAAGTAAGACAAATGAGGACAACACAGCTAAATATAAGAGAAAGGGAAGTGTTGATGAGCTGAGAAAAATAGATGAAGAAAACGACCCCATAACGTGGAAGAAGATAAGTTACATGGTTGACTGGATTGCTTTGTTTACATTCTTGTTTTTGTCAGTAATGAACATGGTCATATTTGTCGGCATTGCAATGTCTTAGATTAAAGAACTAGAAGGACATGTTTGTCTTCTCAATGGTCTTTGCGCAGATGTATATACCATTTGTTTATACAAGGTAGTTGCAAGCATATACGGGGCGATTGCTTAGAAATTAATACATTAAATTAGTATTATTCGCAAATTTTTTATAAATGGATTAAGTAAGGATCGGTATGATTTTTAACATTGTATTTAACTGGAATTATTACAAAGGTAATGCATTGAACGAAGCATTTATTTACTTTGTTCATGCCATATTTACTGCCGCTAAAATACAAAAACTTAAATAGTGATATGATCTGCAATCAGTATATAAGTCATTTCTAATTTCTATTTTGGTGATTTAAAACGACAAATGTTAAAACACTCGAAGTCTGCAAAAGTCAAGTCCTAGAGAGTACTGGAAGATCCTAAATAATGGAAAGAAAAACGTTGTTAATTCTGAACTAAACGATCTGTATAATGTTTTTCAAAAATATTAATAGTTGTAGTAATGACAACTATACACCCCCTGACAACGATATCTCTAATTTACATGATATCAATGATGACATGTTAAATAAAGAAATATCTTTGCAAGAGATTGAGTTTGCACTAAAATTACTTAAGAACAATAAAGCATGCGGTTTAGATAATGTTTTAAGGTAATACACCCCTAATGCACTATCTCCACTTTGAAGAGTATTCAAATAGGCTAGAATCACTGTAAAGTGTATTGAAACTGAGGGGCCGGGCGTGGGTTCAAACCCCAGAAGGGGCAATATTTTTTTCTTTTTTTTTCTTTTTAACATTTTTTATCAATCTCTCAGATCCCTAATGGATGAAAAAAGTGTTTCATTTTAATTATATAATTATTGTAGATATTTATTTACTAAATAATGCCAAATTTAATAGCAAATATGATACCAGATATTTTCAAAAATTAATCAAATAAAAACTACACGGTAAAAGTATTTTATATTTTGCAAGACCAACCAATATACATTTAAGAAAATTTAAGCAAACTTTGAAAAATAGCCCCTCATTTTGGAAAATTTTAGGGATATTTTAAATAAGGCTTTTTACATAGGGAAATGGTCAAATAAGTGTTAAAATTGGGTGGGGTAGGGTTACATTTTTATACATATTAAAAACATTTCGTTTAAAAACAGTCATTTTGCTTGTTTAATTTGTTACCTAAATGTCATTATTTGTTTCTGAACAATTTGCAATAGGAAAACATTTTTCATAATGATGATATTATAGATTATTTAGAGTTTCCTCATTTCTGAAAAAATCCCTTCTAATGGCAAAGTTTTAGTTCAGAAAAATGTCCATAACTCATAAACCACACGGGAAAATTTGTTTAAATTTTGCATACATGTGACATTTTAGGCATATAACTGTCCTATGTTGTCAATTTTACCATTCCTTATAGTGCCCATAAGGGGTGTTTTACCTTAAATGAACATATTAGACACTCCTTCCTCGTTATGAAACATATTTATAACAGACTTTTTAACATTATTTTTAACTATGGTGTAATACCTGATTCCTGGAAAGTTGGTGTTATAAATCCAATATATAAAAATCAGGGTGATGCTAGTGAGCCTAGTAACTATCGACCGATCACACTGCTGAGTTGTTTCGGAAAACTATTTATCTCTGTTGTAAATACATGTATACGATAACAAAATCTTGCTGATAAACATGATGTATTAAATCAATATCAAGCTGGTTTTCAAAAAGGTTTTTCAACTGTTTTTAAAAATGTTAATTGATCTACTTCACAATTCTAAGAAAAAGTTGTTTTGTGTTTTTATAGACCTAAAAAGTGCAATTGATGCCATTATAGGTCAAGACTGTTGATAAAGCCTAGATCTAATAAGAATAATATAAGTTGTAAATTTTTAAATGTTGTCAAAAGTATTTACAATAAGGCGAAAACTTGCGTATGTGCAAATGGTGAAAAGTCTGATTTCTTTCCATGTAACATTGCAGTGGTGTTCGACAAGGCAAAAATCTATCGCCTTTACTCTTTTCCTTTTATTTGAATGATTTGCATGATTATTTTGCAAATAGTTATAGTATAGAAGGTGTTACATTTAATGATGAAGTACTTGGCCTTGTGAACTGTTTATTATTCTATATGCTGACGACCCTATTATTTTATCTGAGTCAGCAAACGATTTACAAATTGCTATAAATAGTTATTGTGACAAATGGAAATTAACAGTGAATAGATCTACAACAAAAGTTCTTGTATTTTCAAAAGGTAAGCGAACGCAGTATAGTTTTACATATGGTAATGAAAATCTAGAAGTTGTCGAGGAATTCAAATACCTAGGAGTATTATTTAGTAGAAGTGGTAGTTTCTTAAAAGCAAAGACTTATATAGCTAACCAAGCAATAAAAGCCATGTATTGTTTAATTAAAAATAACAAAATCTTCAATTACCTTTGTATATGCAAATAGATTTGTTTGACAAACTTGTAAAACCAATTTTATTATATGGTTGTGAATGCTGGGGATATGGTAATAACAGTTAGTCCATCAGATGTAACCAAAGAAGAAAGCGTTGCGTCGAACTGTAAAGGGGTTAAACATTTAAGCATGCAGTATGCCTTAAAGAGTAGGGTAATGATATTATTAAATAAAATACAGCAGACAAATTACCATGACTTAAGATCTTACAAAGTGTTTACATAACATTTCTTTAAAATCTTGCTTACCTCTTGTCGCAGAAGTGGTTTCAAATCGCTATTGAATTTTGAAATTCAATCCAAAATTTAGTAAAAAATAGTTTTATTCAGTTGGGTTCATTGGGAAAATATTTGTAATCAAAGTCAGTTTTATCTATTAAGTAAAACTATCATCATTATATCGGGAAGTGTTTTTAATGCTACTATAACATCTTGCTGTTTATCTGGAGAGAGGCTTAACAAAAATATTTTTCGTAGCAATATAAAATCATTTAGGCTGTCATGAGTACACAATAAGGGTATTGCCAAACCTGACATAAATGTTATTCGAAAGGAACATGAGTGCCCTTTAAACTTCATCGCAGGTCCCCACGGAATTATGTTTTACAATAAAGTTTGTAAAGAAAACCTTTTGAGCAATACATGCAAGAAAGACAACCGTTGTGTAAAACTTTTTTTCGAGATAACTTTACCCCTGTGTAAAAGTTTATCAACAAGGGAAATATGTTTATCATTAATAAGCTGATGCGGTAGTGATGTATCAAAGTTAAACATCTTCATTACTGACGGTTGAAACTTAATATTTCTCTAATTTAAAACCTCAATTTACTATCCTGTGTCGGGAAAGACAAGAATATTTAACTTGTTTTATTCACGGTTCATTTTCCAAAGATTATGTATCAGATATAATACCTTTTCGAAAGAAGAACCGAAAATGATTTATAGTATCATATAAAATCGAAAATTCCCGTGAATGGAAGAAATTTATATAATTCTTTTTAAGAGAATGATATTTACAGTAGTACGTGTACATAAACAGAAAAATGCAATACACATGTTTATAAACTTCTATAAATACCTATTCTATGGTAGACTTTAAAGATTCTCGCTTTTCATATACATTTTGATACTTTCGATCTAAATCAATTATAAGTTTGAGCTCATTTTTGACTCTATATTTGTAAACTGATACGCATCATTGTATCGGAGCGTTAAACCATTCATCGAAATCTGTGTAATGTCTTATTATGAATAAGTGACCCTGACATATATTGTAAAAAACACCTTATCTGATCTTTTCAGTTTATATGGGTCTTTGTAAAAATAACAAAGGGATATTTAAATTGTAAATTTTGTTTACGACTTTTTTCAGATGAATTTTACAAAAATGGAATTTAGAGGAGAGATAACAGTGTTTGGTGTACATAGATATTTGATAACTTTGTATTTTATAATAGGAGTTATGAATGCAGCAACAATCACGGAAATGGAGAATCTTCATACGTCATTATTCACTGGTTATAACAAAAATGTCCGACCAATAACGGACCAAAACTCGGCTATAGATGTTACAATTTTTATGTATATAAAGTCAATTAGGGAATTCGACGAAGTCGATGAAAAGTTTTCCTTTGTAGCTGCATTGCAGTTTATATGGATGGACGAAAAGTTACTTTGGGACAAAAGTATTAATGGCGGTATCGAGCAAATAACTGTGTCCTACGATGACGTATGGGTACCAGAACTGACTTTGTCAAGTCCTTCCTCAAAAGGATCAACAATAGGCAAATCTTCTGACAGAATCCGTGTTAATGAAGAGGGTGAAATGGAGTGGATGCCAGCGGGTCTCATTGAAAGCACATGTAGCGTTAACGCTCAGAAATTTCCATTTGATATTCAGAGTTGTGACACTAGCTTTACTTCTCTCGGTTACAAGAGTAATGAAGTGAATCTTCAAGCTGGATTTCCGAACGTTATGTTAAATGTATACTCTCCTCATGCCTTATGGGATATAACTGCATCAGAAGTTAAAACGGTGATATTAGGATCTGGAAATGAGTCTGAAATAACATTCACTATACAGTTGAAAAGGGATGCAGTTTTTGCAGTGGTTAACATAATAATGCCTATATTAATACTAAGCTTATTAAATGTTCTCGTGTTTCTTCTTGTTCCAGAATCGGGCGAACGTATAGGGTACTGCATTACGACACTTCTCGCAATTGCTGTTTACATGACCATTGTCAATGATTTACTGCCCCAAACTTCACAGCCGGTACCGCTCATTTCCTACAAGTTGATGATTGATTTGCTTATCAGCGCCCTGATAGTTTTTGTCACCATCATAAACATGCGACTATATAATAAAGACGATAACAATAGTGTACCAAATTGGCTGAAGTCTATATATCGGTTTTTAACCTGTACTGGCAGAAAGACTCATCCAGACGAAACCGAAGAAGTCAAACAAAGAAGTGAAATCAAATTTAAAGGTACCGGTACTACTGTAATGCAAGAAAACGCATCTAAATGTAAAACAAAGGACTGTTCTGGCGAGCTGAAAAATAAACAAGAGAGAAAAGACGATCCCATAACATGGAAACAAATAAGTTATATGGTTGACTGGATCGCCCTGTTTACATGTATATTTTTGACAGTGATGAATATGATCATTTTTCTGGGAATGGCAACGTCGTAAAACAACAGAACGGTCAATGAATGAATATTTTAGCATCTTTTCGAATGTGTTCAATAAGCTTTTTAATGCCATCTATCTCGTAAAAACTATTCATTTCAAATATGTCTTTAACCGAATATGGTTTTATTTATAGTCAAGTGTTGTAACAAATATTGACCATTATCATATGATCTAAATATATCTGAAATCTCATTGGTCTAAACTGTAGTTGAGCGAACGCATGGTTAAACATAATCACTGCGGGTAGCTATCGCCTCAGTCAGTTGACAATTCTTCCGGTGAATATCATATCATAACCAATGGCTCACTACTAAATAAACAATGGTGGAAATTTTAAAAAATGCATTTTGAGTCGGGTTTCATGCAGTCATTGAACACTGCCTGGATCTTGTATTATAATCAATAATCGCATTTTGTATGGGACGTTTATGATACATATAACCTATAAAGTTAAACCTATGTCGTTTAACATTTTTCAAATCATTTTTTTTTTGTGTGAATGTAATATTCATAAGAGATAAATAATAAACTTCAAAACAAATCACACTTTTGTCATTATTATTTTAACATAGTGATAGAGAACAAAAGAATTCCTAAAGAATACCTAAAAGTCCATTTAAATTCTATTTTCCTCTACTTTTCTTGATTAGCACTGGGTAATTTAGAATCATGTTTATAAAACACGTGTATTCGTATTTTTTTAATATAAACATGAAGTACAGAGTAAATTAATGAAGTCTTTATTATTCTGATTACTAACAGACAAAAGACAGAATCATAGTATGAACAGCATGGCTATATGTACCTGTCTTTGAAAATGTTGCAAATCACAGATTGAGTTATAAAATTCTTGATTTAATTATAACCTAATTTTAAATGTTATTAACAAGACTGTGATTCATGGAAGATGTGGTTAATGTATAGCATTGTTTACATTCCTTTATGTTAAATCGTTGACGGTTCCATGCTTGAAGCCTGTCAAAAATATTTCCGACAAAGTATGTAAATTTCATTCGTCATCTTTCTATTAATGTATTTTTACTCTATGTTTACATTGTGCTACAAATTGACATATTGCAATCTCCAGTGTATGCGGATTTGACATTCTATAGATCATAAATTTTGTTTTAAATTAGTGCGATTAGTCTGATTAATGTTTAAGTCCAACATGAAAGGCTGTTACGTCTATTGAGCATAATGAAAACCAAAACATGACCAAAAATAATAGATTTGCCATTAATATATTATGAACGGTATAATTAGTAAACATAATACAGATGAAAAAGAGAAAAAAAAATCAAAGATAAAAATGTTGGTTTCTATACAATGGGGTTTAACCTCATCGTTTACTCTTACAGCTAAAATCAATAACGACTTTTTTATGCCATTGACGTATTAATACGGATGAATGACATTTGTTAAGTTAGATTTTTAAAAACAATTCATCATTCGACACCATCGGGAAATAAATCATTAAGCCTCACTTGAAGATATCAATAAAATACAATGAAATTACTTTACGTTTAAATAGAGATCCATCTTCAGCAACTATAGCGCTATTGTGAGAAAAAAGAGATTTTAAACACGAACTTATTTTGGTTTAGATACATTATTTACAAATATTACCAGAATGGCTTTTGAAGGATATACTGGTGTTTTCCAAGCCTTCAGATACTTGATAGTATTATATTTAGTTATATCGCTTATAAACGCAGCTAATATCACAGAAATGGAGAATCTTCATATGTCGTTATTCACTGGCTATAACAAAAATGTGCGTCCAATAACGGATCAAAGCTTGACCATAGACGTAAAAGTATTTATGTATATAAAGTCTATAAAAGAATTCGACGAAGTGCATGAAAAGTTTTCTTTTGTTGCAGCCTTGCAACTTCACTGGATGGATGAAAAGTTACGTTGGGACAAAAAGCTAAATGGTGGAATCGAGCAAATAACAGTATCTTACGATGACGTATGGGTACCAGAACTGACTTTGTCTAGTCTTTCTTCAACAGGAACAACAATAGGGAAACCATCAGACAGAATCCGTGTTAATGATTGGGGTGAAATTGAGTGGATGCCAGCGGGTCTCATTGAAAGCACGTGCAACGTTAACGCTAAGAAATTTCCCTTTGATACTCAGAGTTGCGATACTAAATTTGTGTCCCTTGGGTACAAGAGCAATGAAGTAAATCTTGTAGCTGGAGTTCCATACGTTATGTTTAATGTATATTCTCCTCATGCATTATGGGATGTCACTGGATCAGAAGTAAAAACGACGCTTTTAGGATCTGATCATGAGGTTGAAATAACATTCACTTTACACTTGAAAAGGGATGCAACTTTCGCGGTGATTAACATAATAATGCCCATATCTGTACTAAGCTTATTAAATGTTCTTGTATTTATTTTGGTGCCAGAAGCGGGAGAACGTATAGGGTACTGCATTACGACACTTCTCGCAATTGCTGTTTACATGACCATTGTCAATGACTTTCTGCCCCAGACTTCACAGCCAGTACCGCTTATTTCCTACAAGTTGATGATTGATTTGCTCACAAGCGCGATGATAGTTTTTGTTACCATCGTAAACATGCGACTATATAGTAAAGACGATAATAATAGTGTACCAAAGCTGCTAAAATTCGTATACAGATTTTTATTTTGTACCGGCAGAAAAATTTATCCAGACGACACCGCGGGAATCAAAGCAGAAAGTGAAAACAATTTAAATGAAAGAAGTGCAATGCAGGAAAATCCATCTAAACATAAAGAAAATAAAATCTCCAACGACCTTGAACATTCAGAGAAGGACGATGGTCTTATAACATGGAAAAGAATAAGTTACATGATCGACTGGATTGCTCTTTTTACTTGTTTGCTTTTCTCAGTGATCAATATGATCATATTTATTGGAATGACAACCTCGTAGATGTAAACAGATCTTTTACGATCATCCTTAAGTTTTAAAGTTTTACTGAATATCGCAGCATACTTAGCAACGTGCTAATATTATGTTGCACAGCGGGTATTGTGATGAAATATACATTAGCAAATTCACGTTGATGAATATTTTACAGAGAGCTTGTGATTATCAAATTATTAAGCGATTTTTTCTTATTCTAGTCCTTCGGCCAGCATCGTCGGAACCAACTGATTCTGACATAAGGTAAATAGCTTCGGTTACCGAGGGCATTGGACAGATGTCAACAGTATCGATGTATATGAAAACATTTTCAATCGCAGAAAGATTCGGGCAATTTTTCGTTTAAATCGAATAGTAAAGCAAATAATAATTTGTACATGTTCATGGTTGTCATATTCTTTTAAGTAGTTAAGTACAGTTCATTCTTTTTGTAGCAATGACTTTTTTCAATCAATTAGATGTGGAATTCTTGAGGGCTCATTCAGTCTTTTTTTTTATTTCAAATTCATGCTTCCAGCTATGCGTTCTAGTCTGGCTATAAAAAGAGGAAACGGAATCCCTTAAGAAATGCATTAAACGGCAAAAGTTGACAATGTGACACCCAGAATGCAGTTATCTACGGTTTCATCTTTAGCATGTCAACCACATTGCGAATAACCACATATACAAATGTATAAACTCTAGCAGAAGTCCTCTTATAAGATCTACAGTGATGTTTTTTTAACAAAAGAAACATTTGAATGTGTTCTACACTTGTTTTATTATCATTATGCACCATTTTTGATGGTAAAGACACGTTTATCATTTATGTTTTAAATTAGAAAAACCTATTTTTTCTGTAGAGATAAAGGCCAAAAGTTCCAACACTCTGCCTCCTGTTTGAAAAAGAAATGTCAAGCGCCCTAACTCACATCTTTTACAGATATATGAATTTTATCGAAGACATAGATATCTCTCATTTTATATCCGATATCGTTATAGAGAAGAAAACCATCTGGTTATTTTCTAGAAAGCGCAAATTGTAGATAAATACAACCTTAGTTGCCCTTTGTTGCATAATATTACAATAGACAAATATCGATATTCAATAATTGGAGAGGTCATCAGACCTCTCCACAGTATTCAGACTGATTGCTGGCAGCATCCATTTTTGAGTATCCGATTGTAGTGAACGAATCTCATTTAAAGCGTAAAATCATTAGGAGCAGTCTACAAAAATTGATTCGCGCATGTTCCGTTTCAAATTACCACTTAACTTAAACGAAAAATTAACATCGAAATTAACGAATCGGTACATAGAAAAATCGGAAAATATCATTTACGTTTCGTGGATGTTTAATTCCGTTTTAATCTTTTATATTGTATAAATCGATTACCGTATTGTTTTCTGAAAAGCGTTTTACTATTTCATGTTCCGATGAATAGTAACAGTGAACATTACAGGTACAATATCACCATGCACTATTATATGACCGAGTGAACTATGAACCAAAATAGTGATGCGCCTTTGAATCGGTATTACTAAATAATGCAACGGAGATTTTTTGGCGCCATTGGCACAAAATTTACTCAAGATTTTCCTCAAATAATGTGGTTGGAGGCATGCAGCTTTATATACTGTTTATTCCGCATTTCTTCCGCATATAATCATTCAAAACATTTTTTTAAAAAATGAAGTGTAAAACAAACTTTCAGTATGATACTTTAATAAATATATATAATAAATTCTATTTTGCTAAATAATTGTAATTTATAACCATTCATTATGTTTATGCAAAAATATCCCCAAATATTTTCAAATTAAACAAATCTGCTACAGCAGCAAAAAAGACCTCTCGCATTATTCTTTTTAAAGAAGCAAACTTGTTCCCTCAAGTTTTATTTTTTCATGTGATATTTTTCTCGTTCCTGACCACATATTTTAATAAACGATTAACTAAAATTACCGACAAACTTGCATTAAAGAACACATTCAAGTAAAGTTTTCCCAGATTTCGACAAAATAGATTGATCAAATAGAACAAAGTAACATCCAAATAAAGGCCAATTGTAGATTAACAGACAATAATTGATCTCTTTGGATGGCCGTTGTTCACAAATTTGATCCTGTGACAGCCCATAATGTGTGAGGCGATTTGGGCGCCAATTGTTACAGTATGGGTTTCCATAAATATGATTCTGTAAATATGGTTTATAAGTGCGTCAGCTGATGATTTAGGGTTATAACCTGGGCTGACGATGGGCATTTATTGGAAAATATATTAAGAACAATATATATATATTTTAATTTTAAAATGTATTTCCAAATAAAATATACAGTTCAATGACCACATGGTTGTCTCATCGATATTTGAAATGTAAACATTAAATATGGCGACGAATGCAGTTTACACAAGGACTAAAGGAAAAACATCTTCAAAAGTTTCAGTTACAAAAAAGATTTTCATAAAAACGTACAAACGTATATTGTTGAAACATGTATATCAAACACGATGCTATAAAAGTATCTGGAAAATGTATATTTATAAAGCAATACATATTTTGTAAATATTTAAATGTATTTTCCAATCTAATTTACAATTCAATGATTACATGGTAGTCTCATCGATTCTGTTTGTCGATACAGTCAAATATTTAGCGTTAGTTAGAAATATATACCTGCAACGGCATCCTACACATAATACATTATAGTTCAGACTACAGTATTGGTCATATGGCGACGTTCAAGCTTTACTGGTGTAGGAAGACCTCAGGTGTCCTTCCGTGCTCATTTCAGGTTCCGTAAGCTAGCTGGATAGCTTCCTTAATGAAAGAAATCAAATGCCATATCGGCATTCGAGCCTACAGCGGTGAGGGGCAAGTGGTAGAATATTTAAGGGAAAAATAATTAAATACAAGTCAACATACTGTTTCAGGATTTTATTTATCTGATCTATAGCGATTTAAGTTCCTGTAACATAACGTTCACAATAAAGTTGAAAAGGGGTGCAATTTGTGATGTGATATTGTAATGTCATTATGTGAAATGTTCATGTGTCCCTTCTGGTACTAGAATTGGGAGAACATATTGGGTTTTGGGTCATAACGCTCTTTGCCATCGCCTTGTACATAACTATTGTCAACGAATTGTTGCCCAGTACCGCTTATGTCTTACAAGTTAATGATAAACTTATTCACTTATTCATTGTTGCACCTATTCATTATCCCCAAGTAAAGACTCAATCAAACCGAGTCTGCATTTTCCATGTAATTTTGTTTTGACTAATGCTTCCGAGGGATCACTTTGTTTCCAGTTTTTTTGTTTATAAGAGCACTGATAGTATTTTTATATTTTTACACTTTAAAATAACAGTTCCAAACCGCGCCAATGAGCCATGACAGCTATGCATTTTATTGCAGATAAAGATACCCCTGATTTTATATTCCATATCACTGTAAAAAAACTAAATAAAAACACATCTGGTTATTTTCTACATTTTATCCGCAAATAACACAAAAACAAATCATGTTAGTATTTTTCACATCGACAATCCTTCATAATGCGAAGTTTGCCAGAAAGGGCCGAGAAGATGCGATTGGTGTCCGAGGTCATTATCCGATATTCGACGGAAGAGTTCGTGAAAATGCGATGTGTATTATAAATAGACAAATATCGATATTCATTTATGACGTTACCTTAAATTTTCTATGATACTTCATCGTATCTGACCAAATGTTTTATGAAACGAATAACTTAAAACAGACTTCCGAATAAACACTGTAAATAAAGATCACACTTTGACAATCATTCATCAATTAATAGTAAAGACGATGTTTTGTCTTCCTTTTGGACTTTACTTAGATGTTTGACTATACAGGTTAATCAGTAAAAATCTCCATGGTATTTTAAAATTCTTACAACCCGTCTGTGATAAATCAATTGTTGTTGCCTATCAGAAATATTTGATTCCTTTATTATAATTATGCAACTGCATGTTTAAAAAGCTGCTAAAGATCAATAAAATCTTTCGATTGAAATCAAAAAAATTATTTTAACCCTTATTTGAACCTGATCTCTTTAAACCTGAATCTAACAAATAAAACGAGTAATTGCGTCTCTTTAAATCACGCGAAGAATTAAACCTATATGAACTCTGACCGTTATTCAAATAAATGACCATTAGCCATAGCCATAAATTATACTACGTCTAATCATTTCTGTAACAGTGGAGTTATTAAATGAAAATCAGGGCAAATTAAAAGTTGAAATTAGCTTTTATTTTTTGGCAAAGTTATTAAATAATTTTAAAAAAAGTTACTAAAAAATTGCGGTCAAGGGAAAAACTATTATGTTGGGGACACTAAGTTTCTTGATAATATTACATTTTGTAATAGTACTAATCAACGCTGCTACAATAACGGAAATGGAAACTCTACATACGTCATTATTCACTGGTTATAACAAAAATGTGCGACCAATAACGAACCAAAACACGGCAATTGAAGTTAAAATAGATATGTCAGTTAAGTCAATTAGGGATTTTGATGAAGTGAATGAAAAGTTTTCCTTTGTCGCAGCGTTGGTACTTTCATGGACAGATGAAAAGTTACAATGGGACCCAAGTGTCAATGGTGGCATCGAACAGATTACAGTGTCGTTCAATGATGTATGGGTACCTGAACTGACATTGTCGAGTCCTTCTTCAAAAGGGTCAACATTAGGAAAATCATCTGACATAATTCGTGGTGACCAATTTGGTCAAATGGAATGGATGCCTGGGGGTCTCATTGAAAGCACGTGTAGTGTTAACGCTAAAAACTTTCCGTTCGACACTCAGAGTTGCGACACCAGTTTTACTTCCTTAGGTTACAAGAGCCATGAAGTGAATCTTCAAGCTGAATCGCCGTACGTCTATTTTAATGTTTATACTCCTCACACCTTATGGGCTGTCACCGGATCAAAAGTTAACGCGAAGCTAACATCATCTGGAAATGAGTCTGAAATAACGTTCACTATAAATTTGAAAAGAGATGCAACGTTTGCTGTGATAAACATTATAATGCCAATATTAATTCTGAGCATGTTAAATGTTCTCGTGTTTCTTCTCGTGCCAGAATCGGGAGAACGTATTGGATACTGTATCACAACACTTCTCGCTATTGCTGTGTACATGACCATTGTCAATAAATTATTGCCCCAAACTTCCCAGTCAGTACCGCTTATTTCTTACAAGTTAATGATAGACTTTTTTATAAGCGCAATGATAGTATTTGTCACCATCCTTAACATGCGTTTGTATAGCAGGGACAACAGTTATCTTGTCCCTGCGTGGCTCAAGGTTGTGTATCGAGTTTTAACCTGTACCTGCCGCAAAAATCAACGAGTCGAAAACGGTGAAATTGAGCCAGTAATTGAGACCAATTCAAACAAAAGTAAGGAAATACTGGAAAATAAATCTGGATACACTGAAAAGGAAACTATTCACGAGCTTAAAATGGACGAAGGCGATCTTATTACTTGGACGAAAATAAGCTATATGGTTGACTTGACTGCCCTTTGCACAAGTATAATTTGTCACTTCTGAATGTGATTATTTTTTTGGGAATGGCAACGTCGTAATTAAAGCAAAGAAAACGGACAATGCATGATCATATCCACTGTTAACTGTAAACTAATGTCTTAAGCATTTTAGATAAAATGAGACATAAATTTCCATTTACTTAATTCTTTCTTAAACGGATATTCTGTCAGTGATATTATGGCGTGCTATTTAGTAAGGATGGATTAAAAATGTTTTGATATAAACGTTAGCTTGCTTTAATATAAGTCAATACAAGGGGAGTAAAGATACTTCCCATAAATGTCTTTGTGCCCTTACCAATTATAAGTGCATGACAGTGACAGTGCATAATTGTGAAATATGTTACTTCTTTGATTAATTAAATTGTGTTCAGATCATTACTTTCTTCAACAGACGAGACTTACGTTTGACAAGGAATGAGTTTTTACAAACATTTTAACAACAACCATTCTAAATGCTTTTATACATTCACCTTTATCCATTTTTTTCTTTTCCTTTTCAATGACGCGTATAACAAGAAAGGAAAAGAAAACGAAAGAACCCTCCATAAGTTGTTACAGTATCTAAATGTCTTAATGTTTTAAAATGTTTCATTCTATCTATTTCATTCGCTCTAGCTTTTCACAATTGGTTTTATTTGATTTTGAGTTTTAGACTGTAGGTAAGCAAATATTTCTAACGAATTAGGGTCTGACGTAGGTATCATTTTATAACTATCATATCTAAAGCGGGATTTTTGAAAATGACAATCGTAATGTATTACATCCGCTTTCAAGCATATTTAAATAGGCTAGAACCACTGTTTACTGCATTGAGCTTACGGCCGCGTACCTCTCATATTCCTTTTGGGAAAAAGTGTTTACTTCTAATTTGATAATTTATAAAGTTATTTATTGGCTTTATAAATTAAATGTATATAACAAATATGGTACATGATATTTTCAGAGTCTAATGAAGAAGAACCGTCACCGTAAAAGTAATTAATATTTTACAAGATCAAGCAATATACTATTTTAATAAAATTTTGGGAAACTTTAAAAACAGCACCTTATTTTGGTGCATTTTAGGGATTTTCTTGATTATGCTCTCTAAGTTGGAGAATTGTCAAACACGTGTTTAAAATGGATTGGGTAAGGAAACATTTTGATACATATTTCATCAACTTTGAGCAGAAACAATTATTCTGCTTGTGTTGATTGTTCAGGTCCTTATAGTGCCCGTTTGGCTGGTCATACCTTAACCATATGATGTGTTTCAATCAATTGCGACCAAAAGACGCTTCATGATAAGAATAGGTAAACATATTTATACTTTACATTATGTGTTCCTTTTGTTCGACTTAGGACTGCGATGTTTTTGCATACTCGCATTTTGTTATGGAAAAAAAACTGAAAACAAAGTGATCCCTTGGAAGCTTTAAGCCTTGACTGCTTTAAGATTTTAAAAATGAACGTTCTTGTGTCTCTCTTTCTTTATACAATGTGCACTTATAAATATATTACACGGAAGCATCATTGTTTAAAAACTAAACAATATATGATTTCAATGTGCCTTTATACTCGTATGATGTCGACCTATCATTATACGTAACGATGTGCATTTATATATAAGAATATTTCCACATAAAATATTCATAAATGCTCATCGTATAACGAAAGACTGGCATCATATATGGACAGACTCACATAATATACTGTTATCATGACTCTATATAAAGATGGATACAAATAATATATTCATTAATGCACATCGTATAATGAAAGATTGGCATCATATAATGACACATCGACATTATACATTAATAAGTTGACTAGCTATATAACGATGATTCGGCATAATATACAAATTTGAACTCTAAATAAGGATGGTTTCCCATAATATACTGAAAATGCACACCGTATATCGATAGATTGACATGTTATAAGGAGACATTGACATCATATTGTTGGCTGTAATTAAAAATTATTCCATATCTTCACATCTTATAATGACAGACTGGCATCATACAAGGACAAATTTCCATAATATTTATTGTTATTTTGACCTTATATTAGGCTTTGTTCCACATAATATTGTCAGGCCGCTTCCGAGTCAGGATTGTAAAATATTCTCAACAAATGTGTAACATGAAATATTTCTTTTAATTGGTTTTACTCTAATTATTAGCAAATACATGTACAAACAGTATAAATATTTCTTAACATACCTTTAATTCATTATCTCTAATTTTCTATCAATGTTATTCATGCTTTCTTCAATTTTTATCTGCAATCATTTCATTATCACTTTCAGTTATCTTTTCAATAATCTTAAATTCAGTTATGACACTGTTAAATTAAAATTCGAGCTATTTATATTATTCCTTTGTTTACATGACGTCAAAATAAAAGTAAGATTTTCCGTAAAACTTGGCTTATAGTGACGTCATGATATATTAATAGTTGACAAAATGGCGGTCTTATTGCAGATAATACTTGATTTTGAAGAAAAATGACATATATAAGAACATAAAAGCAATCAATCATGACAGGATATAGATGTTAATTTATAGATGAGACAATAATGTTATGTTTAATGTTATCGCTGAATTTACTTAATTAATATCGTATCAGCGTGGCCAATGAAACGGAGTGGGTGGAGAACAGCCTAGCACTACACCCACATTTCAAAAGAATTGTCCCAATTCTTAACTGTGGTAAGATTATAAATATTACTATTATTGTAAATTACTACTTTTTAAATCAACATAAATATGTTTTATATATTTGTGATACTGTACAAAGTACAATATTAAATATACCTTACAATAATGAATTTTCTATAAATAATTAAACATATGATATTGTAAGGTAAAACATATTAAAATATAACGTCAATGTCAACACATACCAATATATATAATAATCATTAATTTGTCTTAAGTTTGTAAAAAAATTTCATAATTTATTTATAATATTGTTTTCTTTATTTATTGTTTTCTTCTTCCAGGTTACATGGACCTTCAGATGTTATCCTCAGGTATCAGTTTGATTGTTGTTGTTGTTGTTTTTGTTGTTGTTGTTTTTTATCAGTTTTCAGTTTCATCAGTTTTTGTTGATCAGTTTTCATTTCACACAGTTACATCATCTTTTCATTTTACAGTTATATCATTTTTCATTTTACAGTAACATAAGTTTTCATTTTACAGTTACATCAATTTTCATTTTACAGTTACATCAGTTTTCATTTTACAGTTACATCAGTTGTCATTTTATGGATCATTATTTTCATTCAGTTGTATACTTTTAACGATTGTTTTCAATTCATATATGAATTCACCATCTTCTATCTCTTTTTTTCCATTGCTTGGTATATCATTTCTCTTTTTTGGTTTCTTCTGTCAATTAAACCTTTAAATTTTTCTATTTCTTCATCCTCAAGATTAGACATTTCTCTTTCATATTTTCTTAATTAATTTCTGGACAACCAAATATCATATCTACATACAATCTTATTTCTCTTCCGATGTGTAATATAGATGGAGTATAACCAGTAGAAGACTGAATAGAAGATCTATAAACCATCATAACAAGATCTACATGTTCATCCCAGTCTTTTTGATTGGATGAGACATAAGGTTTAAGCATAATTATTATAGTAGAATTTTGTTTCTCTATAAAACCATTTCCATGTTGTTGAAAAACAAATGAGCGTGTCTTTTGATTACCTAGTAATTTGCACATGCCTAAGAATAACTTAGATTTACTAAACAAATCTCCAACAACCATAAGGTATTTATTCCCTTTATTGGTTTTGACAAAAGGACCCATATTATTTATTGCAATCCTTTCATTAGGTGTGCCAACATTATATGTCTGGAGTGGAGCCTTTGATGCTCGCAATGTACCTCTGCGACTATTACATACATCACATTCCCTACTCCAATTTTCTACATCTTTTCGAAGGGCGAAGGAAAAATATTTTTTTCTTACTTTATGTAAAGTTTTCTTAAAATCTAAATGAGCACCAGATTTCCCATCATGCAACTGCTTTAAAATAAATTCTCTATGGGACCTGGGAATAACAAGAAGTAATTTGAAAGTAGAACCATCATCATTTTTCCATTTTCTTAACAATTTTTTTTCTTAATAATCATTGAATCAAGTCTAGCCCAGTAATTTTTCACTTCAGTATTATATTTAGAAACTTCTTGCCAATCTGGTTTTATTCCACTTGTTATAGAAATCTTTTATCAATTTAATATTTTAGTCAGCATCTTGTATTGCTACCAAATCAAAATCTTGTGATGTTGACCTGACATCATTTTTACCAGATATACACTGATTATCAGTTTTATCATTTCCCGGACTTGTAATAGGTACATAAATGGATCCTATCAAAATTTTATCTTTATCTTTTTGATAAGTATTATTTACCACAGATATACTAGCAACATCTACTTTTGACTGTAATGTATCTTTATGATTTGAAAAACTATTTAAATAAAATGTCGATGATTAACTTTGGTCAATATTATGACTAACAGAACAATTTTCTGAAATAAACCTCTTTACAATGTGACTAACCTCACTTATATTTTGTTTAAAACATTTTTCACTATCTTTATTCTGAAATTTAGATTCATCAGGATAAAAATAATCAAACCAGCAAAGAAGACCTAACATCAGCATCCATATACGAGAATTTGATAGGAGACTTACATGTACAAGGACAAATATCAATACCAAGGCAAGGGCGATAAATATGCTACAAGTACCAGAATCAGTCAACACTGAGTTGCCTCCCATAGAATAAATTTCATCAGTAAATGTCATATTTGAATTTATTTTATCATTATCTGAAATCTGTACACTAGACACCATAGAATTTTACTTTGTGCCTCTTCTACCCTAGAACAATATCTACAATTTTCCTCTAGACAAGGGCGTCTTGACAATGCATCAGCATTTGCATGTACTCTTCCACTTCTATGTACAATTGTGAATCATATGCACTTAGAAAAG